AATGAAGAATAATAATAATTACTACTTTTTCAGGTTACTTCCAAGATTAAATGTGCCAGTAACTTGTATAATTACTACAGTGTCTGGTATAGTAAGCATTTCATAAGCATGAGCTATCATCATTATGTATTTTTTTGGAACTTGTTTTAAGATGGAAAGTAAAAATCCAACGTTTTTCCCTCACTACCTAGTTGTCCTATAACCATTTAATGAATATTTCATCTTTTCTTCACTGATTTAAGAAATCACTTTTATCATATGATGCATGCCCATGTGTATTTAAGAATTTCTGAGTTGGCTATTCTACTCCATTGACTTATCTATATTCATGAACTGGTACCACATTATTTGGAAGGGCTAGCTATCCCTCTTTGCTCTTCTTTTACAGTTACCATAACTATTCATTTTTCCATATGAATTTTAATTTACTGTATCAAGTTCTAGAACATAATTAAAATATCATCAGTATATTTATTGAAACCACATTAAATTTATAAATTAACTTAGGGAGAACTGATATATGTTTCCTCTTCAGTCTTCTATCCCAGAACCTGGTATATCCTGCCATTGGTTCAAGTCTTTTTCGCATCTTTCAGTAGTGTTTTAAAGTTTTCTTCACATAGGTCTTGCATATTTCTTGCCATGTTTACTAAATTTTAACATTTTGGTTGCTATTATAAATGGAGTGTTTTCTTCCACTATATTTTCTAACAAGTTGTCTATATAAAGTAAATCTATTGCGTTCTATCTAGGAAATATATATCCTGATACTTTACAAAAAATTCTCCTGGATTTTCCAATATGTAATCCTATCATCTGCAAACAGTGTTAGTTTTACCTTCTCTTTTTCAATCTGCACATCTCTAATTGCCTTCTCTTGTCTGGTTGCATTGGCTAACACCTACAAAACATCTTAAAACATAACCAATTACCCAAAGTAGTCCTGGTCATGCTTTAATCCATTTTAGGCAGCCTTGGAAGAGCTGCACATTAAAAAAGTTTGAGGTCTTCAATCTTAACTTCTTGCAAAGTGGAAATCTACCAGGCCACAGTTTATAAAAGGATGGGCATTTTCTTAACACAAAAAAAGGTAAGATTAAAGTTTAGATCATAACCATTCACAACAAAATTATTTAGTTGTAGGGCACACCTGTTACTAGGCTGAACAAGGGTGGACCACCTCCATATTCTTTCATGATTGGGACTCCAATGGGAATCTCTAACGTTTTTCCATTAAGCACCATGTTGGCTTTTGGGCTGAAATATATAAATTTTATCACATTAAGGTAGTCATCTCTGAATGTTATCAAAAGTGGTTGTTAAACTTGGCCAAACAACTTTTAAGCATCTAAGGAGATAATTACATCATTTTTCCCTTAGATCAATTAAATGATGAATTATAATAATAGAGTTCCTAATATTGAGCCAACCTTGCATTCTGGGACTAAATCCCATTACTGAAATCTGTTTATTCATATTTATTTTGCAGTTTTGCATCAATATTCATACATAAGACTGGTCTGTAGTTTTATTTTTTGTGCTGTCTTTATCAATTTCTGTTTCAGTTCTACTTGCTTCTTAAAAACAATTTGACAATTCTTCTGATTCAAATAGTATTGAAATGATCTGCTCTTTAAATATTTAATAAGTCCCCTATAAAACGGTCTGGACATAATGCTTTGGGAGGTGGCAACTATTTGACAACTATTTCTTTAAATCAATCTGTTAAGATTTTCGACCTCTTTCTGGGGTCAGTTTTGGTCAATTATATTTTCCTATAAATTATCTATTCCATCCAAGTTTTCAAACTTATTTTCAAAGAGTTTAGTAAATAGCCTCTTACGATTCTTTAAATTTTCTACTTCCATTATTCCCCCTCAGTTCTTATTCTATGCATTTGCACTTTATTCCTTTTTTCCTTTATTAGACTAGCTAATAGTTCATAAGTTTTATTGTTGCAGTTTAATTATTTTTCAAAGAGCCACCTTTTAGATTACTTATATTGTTCTACTGTTTTTCTGTTTATGTTTAAAGTTCTTAAACAAGTATACCTTTAGCAGGTGTGCTACATCTCCTCCTCACCCCAAAAAGGTTTCACAGTAATAAATGCAGTGAACACTATCTAAGAATATAAAAGCAAGAAAGCAGAGATTAAATAGGAGCTGTTAACATTATCTTTAATGTCGCCAAATCCCAAATACCTGATCAAAAAAAAACAAAAAAAAGATTAGCAATGTTTCCAATATGGGGGGTGGGGGGAGTGCCATATAAAATAAAAACTAGGCTTTTACTATAATTAATTAATTCAAAATAAGATCAGCTTTAACTATAATAAATAATATTTGAGTAACATGAGAAGTACTTTGAGGTTTTAATTATAAGCCTTCCACCTCCAGCCTATCTATCCCTAGCAATTAATTGCCCACCAATTTAGTTCAACAAGCATGAATGCCCCCTTTTTCCCAATCCCCAAGTTCTCTCAGTATAGCCGGGGACTAAAATAAAGCAAAACCTCCACATACAAGACCAAAGTCTAGGTGTCCCCTGCCAGCCAGTCGGCCAGTGCTGTCACTATCCTAAACACAGTGTGCTTCAAATGAGGCCGTCTACCCAAAGCAGGCCTATTCATGATTTGATCCATTTTAGGGAGCCTGGGAGAAAGGAAACATTAAACAAATTTCAAAGATTGAATCTTCCCTCTTGCAAAATAGAAATCTACTAGGCCACAGTTTATAAAAGGGTGCAAGTTTTCTTCAGCATACCAAAAAAGGTAGGATTAAAACTTAGATGATAACCCTTCACACCAAAAGCACTGGTAATACGGCACACCTCATAGTAGGCTGAGCCAAAGATACGAAGCAGGCCTTGTCTTCTAAAATCAGAAGATGATGCTTTTGTCACAGAACTTTTCAGAGAAATCACTGTGCAAATAACAACATAGAGGAAATACAGAGAAGTGAATAACTGTTACACAGATTGGAGGCTGAATGGAGATTAAATTAACTTTCAAAACAGTAAATCCATAAACTTTGGTCTTACAACCACCAAAACCAGCCAAAGAGGTACTGCTGCCCCTTTCCGGGGCCAATTAGAACTTTCAGCAACCCATCAAGGCAAGAATAGCAGGAGTGGAGGCTGGATAGGCTACAATCTAAAATTTAAATATTGGATGGGGGTGGGGGGTGGGGGCTGGTAGGCAGTTACAGCAGCTAAACAGTAAGAGCATATACATTGTAGGTTCCGCCCTACACCAAAAAAAGCAGCTTACAGGTCCAAATATAGAGAAATGTGCACACAGCCATATGAAAAGAGAGAAGAGCCTGGGATAGAGCTAAGTCCTGAGGTTTTGCACAGTTATTAATATGGATATGAAAAAGAAATTTTGTTTAGCTTCTGTCATGTTAATCTATCTTTTACCAAAAGTGTCATTCATAGGCTGAGAAATTGGGAAGCCTTTGGTTAAGATAAAACAGAACTAAATTTTGGTCAATCTTGATCTTGCTCGACTTTGGAAATCTGATGAAGAGTTTTTGGGTTGTTTGTCTAAGAGGGTGTATCAAAGATACTACAGTGTGTAAAAAGGGAATTCCATACACGCTGGGGAAGTTCAGCATTGAGAAAGCATTGCCTTTAAACATCCATTTATGAGTCTGGCTTTGTAACGGGAATTTATTTTTAAAATAAAATTTAGATAACTGAGTTAAATATAGTTTAACGATAATATGGGTTTTTCTTTTCAAAACTCATTCTCTGCATCTGAGTTAAAAATAAAATAAACTTTTAGGGCTAGCAATGAGGTGGAGGTGAAGTGATTGCAGGCACAGGAAACAGAACTGCCTACCTAAGGTAGCTGAATAAGAAACAGGTCGCACAATCACTTTCCAAACGGCCTCAAATCCAAAAACCTCTACCTTTTACAGTCTCATACTGAATAGTGTATATAATGCAGACCCTCACTATGACCTCCTCCTATAAATACTCAACAATTCTTTAAGGAAAAGAAAAATAGAAGAATTCCTAGCAAATTTCAAATGCAGGATCTATGTTGGTATTGAGCCATTTGTGAAAAATTAATCACTTAATCCTCCAAGCTCGCAAACAGTGGTTTATGAAGGACAAATGCATTAAAATCGCCTGGAAGGCTTTTTTCAAACAAACTGATGGGCACACTTTGAGAAACACTGCGCCAAGGTAATCCTACTTAAATTACAGGCCCGGGTTTGGTAGACCTGTGCTGTTTGCAAACTGCAAGGGGTCTATGACAGAAACGGAGTTAACCTTTTGAAAACTTTCGGTAGTTTAACATTACTTGCCATCCAAACACATGATCACTTTTCTAGCATTTCACTTTTATTGTATTTTCCAAAAGAACTGGTATTGGATTGGAAGATTATTTTTAAAGTTTGAGAAGCGCAGCTCTAAAATAAACACCTCCACAGGACTGACACACAAGGGCAGTCCCGGGAGCCCAAGGGCCAGTGGCAGCTTACCAACTGGGGGAGCCGGGCAGTCCTGGAAGATAATGGAAACCTAAGGATAAAGTCTGCGACGAACAGTGGACTGAGACACAATTTCAAAACTGCAATTTTCATCGTTCTGTATCTTTACATTGCTTCCAGGGACAACACAAAACCGCACCATCGCTGCAAGTGGCCGGGACCCCAGCAGCCGGTGCAAACGAGAAACGAAAGGATGCAGAAAACCCCCGGAATGCGGGCGCGCACACTCGAAGCCGTATCAGCGTTTCTCCTGTCTAAAGTCTGGAAAGGCTGGGAAACTTGCACTCTTAAGTGTTACATGAACATACTACATTCCGCCAAAGCGTTTTGTGGCTTTCCAAAAATAAAAAGACCTGCCGCCACCTTCCTCGCCACCGCCCCTCCGCGCCTGCGTAGGCAGGAGTGTGGAAGGACGTGAGAGCGGGGGACGTGCCGCCGCCCGGCACTGACACGCATGCGCAGCAGCGACTACCGCGACCTCTGAACTTGCTTCGCTCTTACCCGCCACGGAGATTGGATCCTTCCGCCCCGGCAAGGCGTCCTTGGGGCTGGCCATCGTAGAAGCGGAGTCACCTATTCTTAGCACGGGAGAAAGGCTGTGGAAGAGCTGGCGAACCCTCCTGGTGGCCCAGAACATGGGGGCAGGCCGATGGCTAGCGGGTCTCCGGCGGGACGGCGCAGTCGAGAACCAATCCGCAGCTGCGGGACCGGCGAGCACTGGACGGCTGGCACCCAGCGGGGACACCGTTGTTGTGAGCCGCTGCTGTCCGGAATCGAGGTTACTTAAGGCGCTGCCCACACGCCCTGTATCTGAGGGCGTGTCCTGCCCCTGAGGGTTACCTGATCGTGGGAGACACCAGCGAGTTTTTCTGACCCGGCTACAGTGCTAAATTCCCAAGCTGCGAACAAGTGTATTAATGGCGGTACGAAGTACGTAAAGCGTCAGGGACCAAAAAAAAAAAAAAGTGCCTAGCCTTTGATTTTTAAGTCCATTACCATTTCACAACGTCCTTAGCGATTGTTTGGTATACCCAATAAGATACAAAACGATCTGTGTTTCAGACAGCTAGGATGTATGTCTATTTCCATTGCAGCCATTATGATTAATTACCTAAAAGATGCGTACTGTGTCTAAAATGAAAAATAAGCCCAACTTACAGAATTGGGGAAGATAATATAATGTCATATATATGTGTACACACATGCATATGTATAAATAATATATCGATAAACCCATTTTACAGGAGAGCAAATAGAGGAGCAAGACAATAATGCCACCACTGACACAGATGAGGTGAATGTGATGGCGCTGTAGGACCATTCTTGTTTCTGAAATGATGGGAGGTAACATTTGTTCCTATGACACATTTTCAACCCCAGAAATAAGGTGGGTGGAGCCAGGTCGGTGACTTGGGTGTTCCATATGTGAAATTTTGGTTTTACACAAATGTTCTGCCAAAATCGGCAGATAACCTCAGATGAGGGAAGGAACTTCAGGTTAGCACCCACAGAGATGAAAGAGAGGGCTTTGGCCCAACCGCTTACCCCACCCCGTGGGTTTATTTACCTCTTTGTTTTAGTGTGGTCTGGACTGTCATATAAGGAGCACTGAAGGATTAGCCTTACTATATTGTAGAATATGGCCAGACTTGTGGCATTAAACTTAAAATGTTTATTTTGTAATTTACATTTCCTCTGGGCAGTTTGCCTGCATTTTTACTTTTGATTTATTTGCTTTTACTATGAGATTGTACAAAATAGGTTATACAGGCCTTTCCCAAATGCATTCTCAAAGGTGTACCTTGTAGGTTTGTGAAGGCCTGGTTACCGCTAAGCATTTGAAAAAATAAGAACATTCTTTTGTTAAAGGAAATACTCTGTTGATTTTCTTTTTAATAACTGCCTTTTGATACATATTGATTTGTTTTTTCTGGTTTAGTGGTTGGCTCCTGAAATTAAATGTATTAGAAATACTCAGCAACTAAAAACTGAAGAATTGTTCATGTCAAGACGTACTTACTCAAGGAGTACAAATGTGCTATGTAGTATATATTAAAAAAATGCATATGCCCCCCACTTGCACACCCACTAAAGAAAGACTAGAAAAAACTAAAATGATGTTTGTACTTTTGTTGTTGTTCAATGTAATGGTCTACTGATTTTCACTTTCTGTAAACCTCTGTTTTAAAATGTTCTACATTGTTACAGTGTTCTTAAGTATTACAATGGCTGTTACTTTTATATAAAATAAACATTTTTAAAGCAAAATACCTTAATTTATTTCAGAGCTTTTTTTTCATAAAACAATAGTTTTTTAATTTACCAGAATACTTGTAAGAAAAGTTACATTGAGTTTCGTTTGCTTTCTGAGGAGAAAATTAAACATTTCTGCCTCCAGTGATACCATTGCCACCACTAGGACTTCCTTTTCTTCAGACTCTCCTAATCCCATCTGAGCTTCACACTGAGAGAGCCTTCTTTTTCCCCATTGGACTTATGCTGCTTTGATTTTTCATTTTTGTGATTATGGCCTAGTTTTCCAACAAATTCTAATGTATGTTCTTTAGGAAGCAGACTAAGCATTGTCTTTGGTATAAAAAAAGACCCACAATACAGCAGTTTAAACAAAATGGAAGTGTATTTCTCTCTTACAGAAAAATCTAGAGATAGGTAGTTCAGCACTGAGCAGGCCCATGTCTTCCATAGTATCTCATTTGGATTGGCTCACATTAAGTATTCAGTGGTTACATGTTTGGTTTAATTGGGCCAAAATCCTAACTTAGATTAGCAAAAGTTTCTTTTCATTGTTCAAGGCTCTTCCTTGCCCCTTGGAAACAAGAATACTCAATACTCTATCCCAAAATAAAACCTAGGTTTTAGTTGAGATGCAGATTAGATTGCTTTAACAAAAGTACTGTATCTGAAACATGGTTTTGTTTTCTTCTCTCATACACTGGCCCAGAGGTAGGTGGTCCAGGACAGGTGAGGCAGCATGGCTCTCCTTAGACACAGGCTCCATGCCAGAATCTGCCATCACCTCTGTACCTTAGCCCAGCAAAAAGGCAGGAAAGGGGTGCACATCTCAGTACTACCAAGAGTGCATCCCAGAGGTAGAATACGTCATTTCCACTCATTCCATTGACCTCATTAGAGACACAGTCTCACTGTTGGAAAGGAAGGTGAGAGACCAAGTTCTCTAGCTGAGCAACCACAGATCCAGCTAATACTTGGCAGTTCTAGTAATGAAAGAAGAAAGAATATCATTTGGTGGACATCTCTGTCACAGTTCATTCTTCTGGCCACCAAATATCCATATATACCCTTTTAATATGTAGGACACCCCTATACCAAAGGGAGAAAAGCTCAAGTTTCAAGCAGTTCAAAGTGCTTGATCTGAAGAGGGCATGTAGTCCTGTATAAGTCTGGATGTAACTGCGTGATCCCGTGACCTATAGACGGAAAGCTGAGGTTTTATGTGTTCCCTTCTCCCACACCCTTTCCTGCACACCAGGTATACAATGGTGAAATAAGAATATGAAAACTAATTTGTGAAAAAGAACAAGGAAAAACAGTAGTCACTGGTCTACAGTCTAACCAAATGTTGCAAAGGGGAACCATCAAAAAATGCCCAGGTGGCGGAGTAAATTCTTAGTTAGACCCCAGTTCTCTCTAGAAGGGAACTCCCTTGTGGGTTGCATCTGAAGGTACTGGTTTTACCCACTGGGAGGTTCCTACCCATGATCGCCTATGATCCCATCAGAAAGGGTATATGGAAGAGTATGTCCTCCTGGGGGCCTGTACATCTCTTTGTGTCCAGTTTCTCTGAGGGACTGTAGGCTACTTCAGAGACAAATGGACACAGGCATTTGCAAGCTAGGCTTGTAGCTTCATTGTTAATTCAATTTTAAAAGACTGAATTGACTTCTAACACTTGGCTACTGTAAATTGTGCTGCTATGGACATTGAGGTGCATAGTCTCTTTTGAATTGGTGTTTTCAGTTATGCTAAGTGGAATAAGCCAGCTGGTGAAAGACAAATACTATATGATCTTACCTATAAGTGGAACCTAATCAACAAAACAAATAAGCAAACAAAATATAACCAGAGACATTGAAATAAAGAACAAACTGACAGTAACCAGAGGGGAAGGGAGAGAGGGATAATAAGGGAATACAGGGGAAGGGTCATCAAGGAATATGTATAAAGGACACATGGACGAAGCCAAAGGGGGTAAGATCAAGGGCGGGGGAGGGAGTTGGGGGGTGGGGGAATGGAGACAACCGTACTTGAACAGCAATAAAAAAATAAATAATTTTTTAAATGATAACTGAATTGATTTCCAGTCTATTTGTTCCTTCTACAATTTCCTGTACAAATAACCAGAGCTAAAGATCTCAAACTAGTCATATTTCTTATGCCTAACTACTCCTCACTTTTATTTACTAGGCTCTGTGTTTGTCCCATATATCTTATATCTATTAACCTAATGGCAGTGCCTTTGCAGCCAGGAAAAAAACAGCAGTTTTGGTTGGGAAGGCAATCCCCTTAATGTGATCTTTACTACATGTCATCTGCAGACAACACTTTGCTATAGCCCTTAAGAAGGGCTTTGGGTCACAGTTTTATCTTCTGCTATTGGGAGTATAATAGCTTCTGGCTTTATCAAAACTAGGAGGCCCTAAATAACCACTCTCAGTCAATTTGTATTATACACTGCAGGCAGAGAACTTCAATCTTAGCAGAGCTTTATTTTCTTCCATCTCTGTTAACAAAATGGCTAGCTTTTACCTGAGTTCATCTTTCTCAAAGGGCTTTGCTAAAGGAGGCAGGAAATAGCTAATACTCTCTCATTGGTCAAAGAATCATCTTCCTGATCATTTCCCTACAGCCACAGATTCAAAGAGCATGTGGTCTTCCTTCCAAGGAATTAAGTTGACAATTTTATCAAATGTTTTGTGGTGGCATAAAAAGGATCACCAGCTTCCCAGCCTTTAATATCTGTGTCCTTGCTGTCTGTTGCCTGCCAGTTAAACCAGAGCCACATAATTTAGGTTGATGGCATGGAGTCTACAGAAAAGCTGCCAGAACTGACTTGCTGGTTTTGCAACATGGCAAGACACAAGATCTATATACAAAACTCTATTGTACTTCGTAGGCCTACCTCAAGAAACAAGACAAATCTCATATAAATGGAGCCCAAAGTTAATGGAAAGAAGGAAATAATAAAGATCAGAGCAGAAATAAATAAAATAGAGGTCAAAAAGACAATAAGAAAAGATCCATGAAAAAAGCTGGTTCTGTGAAAAGATGAACAAAATAGACCAACCTTCAGCTAGACTAACCAAGAGAAAAAGAGGGAGCGCTTAGAAAATAGAAATAAAAGAGGAGACATTACAACGAATACGACAGAAATGCAAAGTATTATAAGAGAATACTGCAAACAATTATATGCCAACAAATTGGACAACCTAGAACAAATGGATAAATTCTTAGAAACACATACTCTTCCAAGACCAGATAATGAAGAAACACAAAACCTGAACAGACTGATTACTAGTAAGGAGATTGAATCAGTAATCAAAAACCTTCCAAAAACAAAATTCCAGGACCAGGCAGCTTTACTGGTGAATTCTTCCAAATAGTCAAAGGTTTAATACTCATCCTTTTCGAATTCTTCCAAAAAACTAAAGAAGAAGGAACGCTACCGAACACATTTTACAAGGCCAGCATTACACTGATACCAGACAAGGACACCACAAAAAAATAAAATTGTGGGTAAATATTCTTGATGTATGTAGAGCCAAAGTAGAGAGGACAGGCCTTAAACTCTAGAATAGGAAAGGTAAAGGGCATGATTTAAGAGATGAGAGGAGAGATCAAACATCCTGA